TTCAGAGTGGTTGTTTTGCATATTTTGAAATCACCTGTTTACTGTGATCTTATTGCATTATATATATATATATATATATTAATATATATATATATATATATATATTATATTATTATATATTTATATAAGTATATTATTGTAAGTACGAAACGAGTGGTATTAATAATATAAAATACTGCCTGTTGGGCTAATACACCAAACAGGGAGTCGAATGAAATTAGCTGAGAGGCGCCCACACCACCGTGTGTCCTCGGACCAAGGGTAACACATCTAGCTTGGATGAGTGCGTGGTTCTTGTAGGATTTGGTGGTCCTGTGAATTAGAGCGTCATGTGAGTTTCGCTCACCATAAGGAGGGCCAAAACATCATGGGTTCGAGTCCTTGGCTAGTCGCAGTGTTGTTTACAGTGTTTAACATAAATTTTTGCCACTAAAAATGGTACGTTAGAAACTGCTAGGCTAGTTTAGGTTTCGTTACGTTACGTTAAGTTACGTTACGTTACGTTGTTAGATTAATTACATTTGCCTGTAAATATTGTGAGTGTTAGCCGGAGAATATTCAAGAAACATTGTATATCAAGATAATGTTCAAAGTAAAATATAAACAGTGGTAAACTAGGCTAAAAAAAATCTTTTTAAAAATCTCCGGCGGACCGCATTCTGCGGTTGTACCCTTCACTGATGATGATGTACCCTTCACTGATGATGATGTACCCTTCACTGATGATGTTGTACCCTTCACTGATGATGTACCCTTCACTGATGTTGTACCCTTCACTGATGATGTACCCTTCACTGATGATGTTGTACCCTTCACTGATGTTGTACCCTTCACTGATGTTGTACCCTTCACTGATGTTGTACCCTTCACTGATGATGTTGTACCCTTCACTGATGATGTTGTACCCTTCACTGATGATGTACCCTTCACTGATGATGTTGTACCCTTCACTGATGGTGGTGTTGTACCCTTCACTGATGATGTTGTACCCTTCACTGATGTTGTACCCTTCACTGATGATGTTGTACCCTTCACTGATGATGTACCCTTCACTGATGATGTTGTACCCTTCACTGATGATGTTGTACCCTTCACTGATGATGATGTACCCTTCACTGATGATGTTGTACCCTTCACTGATGATGTTGTACCCTTCACTGATGATGTACCCTTCACTGATGATGTTGTACCCTTCACTGATGGTGGTGTACCCTTCACTGATGGTGGTGTACCCTTCACTGATGGTGTTGTACCCTTCACTGATGGTGTTGTACCCTTCACTGATGGTGTTGTACCCTTCACTGATGGTGTTGTACCCTTCACTGATGGTGCTGTACCCTTCACTGATGTTGTACCCTTCACTGATGGTGGTGTTGTACCCTTCACTGATGGTGGTGTTGTACCCTTCACTGATGGTGTTGTACCCTTCACTGATGGTGGTGTACCCTTCACTGATGGTGTTGTACCCTTCACTGATGGTGGTGTTGTACCCTTCACTGATGGTGTTTTACCCTTCACTGATGGTGGTGTTGTACCCTTCACTGATGGTGGTGTTGTACCCTTCACTGATGGTGGTGTTGTACCCTTCACTTTTGGTGGTGTTGTACCCTTCACTTTTGGTGGTGTTGTACCCTTCACTGATGGTGGTGTTGTACCCTTCACTGATGGTGGTGTTGCACCCTTCACTGATGGTGGTGTTGTACCCTTCACTGATGGTAAAGTGGAGTTGTACCCTTCATCCGTGGTAGACCTACATTTTTGGGGCCCTGAAGCTGGAACTGTTATGGGGGGTCCCTTTGCAGCCCCTTCTCACACAGTAGACCCAAAATATTTAAGCAATGTGAACTAAAGTGGTTTCTGGGGCCCCTCCGGGATTAGGGGCCCTGAAGCTTAAGTTTCATAAGTTTCATAGTAGGTCCGCCCCTGCCCTTCACTGATTAGCGAAGGGGTAGTTTTACGCTTTACTAATGGTGAAGGATGTTGGTTTAGCTATTTCTGGTGGTAATGTGGTGGTGTTTTATCCTGACCTGGTGATAGTTGGCCAGTGTTTTATCCTGACCTGGTGGTAGTTGGCCGGTGTTTTATCCTGACCTGGTGGTAGTTGGCCGGTGTTTTATCCTGACCTGGTGGTAGTTGGCCGGTGTTTTATCCTGACCTGGTGGTAGTTGGCCGGTGTTTTATCCTGACCTGGTGGTAGTTGGCCGGTGTTTTATCCTGACCTGGTGGTAGTTGGCCGGTGTTTTATCCTGACCTGGTGGTAGTTGGCCGGTGTTTTATCCTGACCTGGTGGTAGTTGGCCGGTGTTTTATCCTGACCTGGTGGTAGTTGGCCGGTGTTTTATCCTGACCTGGTGGTAGTGGAGTGGTGTTTTATCTTAACCTGGTGGTAGTTGGCCGGTGTTTTATCCTTACCTGGTGGTAGTTGGCCGGTGTTTTATCCTTATCTGGTGGTAGTTGGCCGGTGTTTTATCCTTACCTGGTGGTAGTGGAGTGGTGTTTTATCCTGACCTGGAGGTAGTTGGCTGGTATTTTATCCTAACCTGGTGATACAGTACCTTCTGGGGTTGTCGACGCTCCTGCTGGAACTGAGGTGGGTACCGCTGTTCCAGGAGAGCTTCCTGTGGTGCTCCCTGCTTCTGAAGAAGTTCCTCTTCCCGTCCCTTATAGCGTTCCGAAGCTTCGGCTTCCCGTGCCTTCAGTTCGTCCTCCCTCTTAGCTTTCTCGATCTGCTGGAGGGCGTGGGCGGGCATGGGATGTGGGTTGATAGGGGCCACGGGCAGCATGTCTGAGGAAGGCTGATACCCATTCTCATCTGCCACGTAGGTTAGCTGATGGACTGTGCCGTCAGGATGGGTGAAGCTGAGGTAGACATCACATTATTATTATTATTATTATTATTATTATTGCAATTATCACTTGAATTACTGTTATTCTTGAAATTATTGTTATTGTAATCATTATTGTAATTATTAAGTATTGTACTTATTATTATAATTATTAATTATTGTACTTATTGTAACTATTATTAACTATTGTACTCATTGTATTATTATTAATTATCATTATTATTATTAATTCATTATTGTTTATTATGATTATTATAGGGAGCGCTAAATCCGTAGGGGGGTCACACAAAGCCTGGGGGATGGGAGGTAATAGGGTTTGATCCAAGGAAGTAGAAGTGTAGCTCCAGTCCCTTAGATCTAAAGCCTCTTCGCACTCCCTGCCATCAAGGCGTACAAAGAAGGAAGGTCATTCAAGGGGAGGTGGAAGGAGGGTCTTGATGCTTGTGAAGGGCTCTTGATCCAATAAGTTAGAGCTATGATCCCTTTCCTTGGATCAGACCAAGGCTCCGTGGACTGGTTTAAATGTTACCTGAACAACAGGACTTAGATTAGGGGAATAAAAACAGTCACAATACGGTGGCTGGAACAGTTCGCTGGAAACCCTCATAGCGACGTTTCGGTTCGTCCTGGACCGAAACCATTGACATTGATTGAGGACGGACCGAAACATCGTCATGAGGTTTCTTCCCCGGCTTCTGGAGATAAACGGACAAGATATCATGGTCCATAACACAGAGATTCAGAACCTCTGTCGACAAGTGTTGATCCTCAAAGCGTAAGTTCTCATTGTAAATAATTCTGATTAATTTTAATGGGTTATTCTTGGTTCATTTCTATACTATTTACTACGTGAAACCCTAAAATTATGTATGAGGGGGTCTAATTACAGGATGTACTACACACTGTGCAAAACAACCACTGTGAAAAAACAGTAAACTTCCAAGCGCATTCGTGATTTCTAACTATATCAAGGATTATCTAAACTTATAAAACTATCTAAACTCCCTAAACTGCCTATAAAACTAAACTTCCTCTAAAACTATTATCAAGGATCTTGATAATGTGAGAAATCACGAAATCGCTTGGAGTTCACTGTTTTTTCATTTTTTTTTTTTTTTTTTTTTTGTATATTGTGATACCACCTGTTTACTGTGATGTTATTGCATCAGTGTATATTGTATATATGCTGAGAGATTACTTTAATACCCTATTTTAGATAGGGTATTCTTGACTGATGACAGCCAGGTGAAATGTAACCTTAATGACCCTGGTGTAGTCGACAGGTTTTAACCCCCATTAACTATCCATTCTCCATTTCCCTTCGTTCCTGCCAAGAGATGGACTTACTAGTAACCACCCTTGGAGACGGAGCCGCCGGTCACCTGACTGGATTCCACATGCTGAACCATTCTGATCCCATTACCAGTCTCCACCTCCATGTTATACACGCCTCTGGCAGGGGCTATCCTCATATCCTTGACGATGGCTGCCGTGCTAGGGTGCTCCTCGGCTCCCTGCCGCTGGATAGGGCCCAAGTCCCGGGTGAGCTCTGGTTCGTGGACGGACTTGCCGGGTTCGGAAAACTGGGTAGGACTATAATGTTGGGATGTGGTTGGGAGTCGAGGTCGGCCCACGCCCGAACCTACACACAGCGCAGCCAACACCATCTATTGGGAACACAAAATGTACACTGCATAAATAAATCCAAAAAAATAAGATAAAGTAAAATAAAGACAAAGAGAGGATCACTGCCTAAATTAGCTCTGCTTAACCAGAGGCTTTATGTAAAAGGTACGTCAGTAATGTCAACTAATTCTGTATCAGTTGTATCACGACTCAGAAAATCGTAATAATCGTAAACCACGGAACGGGTGAGGTTTGAAACCCGCCCTGGGTTCAAACCTTATCAGTTCCGTGGTTTAATCGTATCAAGTTCTTGTAGATATGACGATTACTATTAATTATTATTATTACTAGTCAGTGCTAGGTAGGCTTCATACTTTCTAAATATTAGTTTATCCAACTTTATGATCCATTATTTCAAGTTCTTTCGTGGTTATGTATCCTCAGCACCTCATTTGTATCTTCTTTATTTATTCCTGTCTTCCAGTTGTATTTCTCAAATATATTTCTGATACTTTACACTTTCTTTAAAATTCAATGTGGGTGTGTGTGTGTCTCATTCACATATATGTATGTACTAACTCTACTTGTGTGTGTATATGTAAGCGCATGTGTACTTAGGTTTTAGCGCATGTTTGTGTATTAGCGCATGCATACGTAGCCACCATTAACACCTGCCAGTGAAATCAAGAATATTTGTCTAGGTGTTACCGTCCGTCACTAAGTGAAAGCTATTGTTTGTTGTGTGTGTGGCGTGTGTGTGTGTGTGTGTGTGTGTGTGTGTGTGTGTGTGTGCTTACCTATTTCTGGTTGCAGGGGTCGATTCACAGCTCCTGGCCCCGCCTCTTCGCTGGTCACTCTTAGGTCCACTCTTTCCCTGCTCGATGAGCTTTATCGTACCTCTTCTTAAAGCTATGTATGGATCCTGCTTCCACTACATCTCCAGAGTGTTCCACTTCCTGTGTGTGTGTGTGTGTGTGTGTGTGTGTGTGTGTGTGTGTGTGTGTGTGTGTGTGTGTACCCTTAATGAAAAACTTATTCTACCCTAGTATTTTCGATATTGTGATCATATCTCCTCCTGTTCTTCGCTTTTCCAGTGACATAGGTGATAGTAAACGAAGAGGGAAAGGGAGGAAGGGTTAAGACATACAGAGAAGAGAAAGGTGACTCAAGTTATGGCACAGAAGTGAAATACTGGGACACCGACACGAAATGTATCAGTTTACACTCAAAATTAAACCAATAGATGATACTGCAGCAGCTACAAGAGCAGAATAGCTGCAGAAGTAGCAGCAACAGCAGCAGCAAGGGCACAGCAGCAACGCCAACAGCAGACAGCTGCAGAAATGACAGTAACAGCTATTGAACGTGTTATGTGTTGACATGACCAACAGGACGTGTTTGTGAGCCCCAGGGAGAAGTGCTCCTTTCACCTCCCACCTACACTCTTTCCCACTCCCACATCCTCCCACCCACACCCTCACACACCCACCTTCCCACACCCCCACCCATACCCTCACACACCCACCTTCCCACACCCTCCCACACACTCACCTCCCCACACCCACCCACACTCACGGCTCAGGGAGAGTGACCTAGTAGCGATCAGTGAAGAGGCGGGGCCAGGAGCTCGGACTCGACCCCCGCAACCTCAACTAGGTGAGTACAACTAGGTGAGTACACCCACCTTCCCACACCCTCCCACCTATACCCTCCCACACACCCACCTTCCCACACCCACACACATCCACCTTCCCACACCCTCCCACACTCACACCCTCCCATCCACACCCTCACACACTCACCTTCCCACATTCGTACCCTACCGCCCACACCCTACCACCCACACCTTCACACACACCCACCTTCCCACACCCTCCCATACCTACACCCACTACACCCTCCTACACCACCCCACACCCACCCAAAAACCTCCCACATCACCCCACACCACCTCACACCCTCCCACATCCCCTCACACCTTTCCACACCCTCCCACTCCACCCCAAACCCTCCCACACCCCACCTCAACAAACATCATTCTTTCCAAATAATAATAATAATAATAATAATAATAATAATAATAATAATAATAATAATTCCAGTAACTCGTCCTCTTTTTGGTAAATAATCCACATTTTGTCTAGAGACTCTTCAGTTCTTTTAAGCCACGAAGCTGTATGCCACACACGGGTTTAGCGCATTTCTGTGTGCTTGGCAATACATACAAAAATGGAGCAGCAGTTTCTTCAGTGTACTCACCTGTGTGGTTGCAGGGGTCGAGTCTTAGCTCCTGGCCCCGGCTCTCAACTTACCGTTTGCCAGATTCACTCCCCTCTAGCCTCGTGGGCTCTATCGTACCTACTCTCAAAGCTATGCATGGAGTCTGCCTCCGCCAGTTCCTCGTTGAGGTAATTCCACTTCATGAGCACGCTGAGGCTGAAGGAATACTGCCTGACATCCCTGTGGTTCATTTGTGTCTTTAACTTCCAGCTGCGTCCCCTGTGTGTGTGTGTGTGTGTGTGTGTGTGTGTGTGTGTGTGTGTGTGTGTGTGTGTGTGTGTGTCTAACCACATACGTATTCTATCATTATTTAGGAGTGTGTATGTACGATTATTATTATTATTATAATTATTATTATTATTATTATTATTATTATTATTATTATTATTATTATATCGTCAAACTCAAACACATTAAGTAAAAAATTTTACTGCTCTTGGTGAATAAACGTTGTTGGTTCAACGTTGTTGGTTCAACGTTGTTGGTTCAACTTTCTGTTTATCGCTCAACCAAACAAGTGTGTCTGTCGGGCCACCACGATTACGTAAGTGTGTGATAACTCCCACAACCAAGCCAGTGTCTGATAGGCAGCACCAGCCTCCCCATCAGAGACACCTGTTATCATACAACAGGTCATACCTTCATGACCTGGCGTGACCCAGATCATAAAACTGTGACCTGGGGTTGGAAGCCTATCGACTACACGAGGGTCATGGAGCCTACAAGTAACCTCTCCACCACAAGAAAAGAATACTCTAATCCCTGAATCGGAATTATCAGCATATATACGCTGGGAGAAATACACCTCACGATGTATATATCATGTGGGAGGAGACTGTGGTAGCAACAACAAGTGGGGAGGTTTCCGGATGTTCTCTACACAGTGTTGGAGAAAGCAGCCAGATCTCTAACTGACCTCACACAGCCGGCTTTCTAAAGCCCTGAGAAGCGTGGACAAGGCAGTATCCAGAACATGTCTCTTTTCGGATTATGTTTCCCTCTTTACTTTTCGCCCAGTGAGCTTCATAAAGTTTGACGGACTGAACACATCGACTCCAGTCTAAGGGACTGATTACCTCAAACTCCTTCTTCCAACATTCTTCTCTGTATTTGACCGTGGAAGCCACTGGCTGGCGAAGTGTTTCCATAATGAAGATACCGAAGTAGTCGCTTCCGGGGGTCACTGCCCCTGCTGGCCCGGTCCCAGACCCGGCCTCCTGGGTTTCTCTCCCTCGGTCGTCACTTGACAATGTTCCAAGACCGAATCGTCGTTTGAAGTTCCGCTCTGAACTGTGGGTCAGTTGTACATTGTTCCAACCACAATATTGTGATTTGTTCACAGCGTTCATCATTAATTTTACTACTACTACTACTACTAATACTACTACTACTACTACTACTACTACTACAACTACTACCACTACCCCCCAACCCCCATCAACCCGTACACTCCAAACATTCCATCAATTACCTTCAAATCTCCATCTTTTTGAATTTACAAATGTACAATCAACACACACATTAGCAGACCTAGCTAACACAACAACACTTCGCCTGTTCAACTGCTCTGCAGGTGCAAAACCCACATGGGCCTGTCAGCTCCACTAATTTGGCGATTCCGGAGAGTGGGGACTCAGACCTACGGCAAGCTAGAGCTAAAAAAAAAAACAGCAGGCCAGTGCGTTAACTACTGTACCAATGGATTGTTTACACCCAATCATTACTATTTCGCCGGCCTGGTCATGGACCGGGCCGAGGGGGCGTTGATCCCCGGAATACCCTCCAGGTAGACTCCAGGTAGGTAGCCACTGCTTTGATCTGCTAATTCTTCTCACTGATTTCTGATCGTAGCAGCAGCAACTCCAGCAGACATTGAGCAAGTCAAAGCAGACGCTGCACAGAGCAGCAGATGATCTCAGCAGCAGCAACATCAGCAGACAGTGAGGAAGTCAAAGCAGCCGTTACACAGAAGAGCAGATCGTTAAATCAGCAGCAGCAGACACGTCGCCCAGATGTAAGTCTAACGTTTTGAAGGATGTTTACATAACGTTTTAGCGACGTAATTATGATATTTCTATCGCTGCTATTAGACGTATTTTTCATTTGATATTTACTACACGTTTTTGCAACGTATACTGAAGTAGACACCAATCTGCAGTAAAGGCTCTTATTTGGACAACGTTTCGCTCTAGAAAAAAGCTTTAAAAAGCTCTACTTCGAGCGAAACGTTTCCAAAATACCCAACAAACTACCCAACGTAATTGCAACGTTTCGGCGATTACTTTGGCTCTTGCTGGGGTAGACGCTTGCCCTGAACGACGTCTTTTGTCAATGCTGACTTTACGTCGCCACGACGTTCGGAACGTCGCCACGACGTTCGGAACGTCGCCGCGATGTCCTTGGGACATGGCCACGAGTCCGATCGCGTCGCGAACAACTCACCAGCCTCATGTCTGCGGGAGAAGGAGGTCTGCGAGACCAAACACCAGCAGAGACAACACTGAACTAGGAAGCAGTGGGGGAAAGTGTCAGTATATATATATATACACACACACACACATACACAAACACAAACACACACACACGTACACGTACACACACGCGCGTGCTCCCACGGGGAGGGGGTGATGGTGGTTAATTAGGGGCGGGGGAGTGGCACGAGAAAGGATGGGAGGGATGGGGAATGGGAGGTGAATGAGGTGAGTGCTGGGAGGTATAGAGGGTGGGAGAAATGGAGAGGGAGGAAAAGCGAGTAACAGGTTGGGTAAGAGGAAGGCAACAGAAGAGAGGTGGGAGGGAAGAATGTGTGGCAGTAGCAGCAGCGTCAGAAGCAACGCTAACAAGAATAGCATCACTGCAACAACAGCAGGAGCGGTAACAGCAACAACAGTAGCAGCAACAACAACAGTAATATCAGAAGAAACAGCAGCAGTAAGACTGTATATCACATCAACAATAGCAGCTGCAGTAGTAACAACAGCAATTTCCGTAGTAATAGCGATTTATATACACTTTGATCGCTACATTGTTCTAAGGGTTACTCTGTTATTTTAGGCCCAGAGCTCTCTGCAAGGGCCATCTATAGGCCGATGTCAAGCCCTAGGGACATACTACTGCATAAATATAGAACATTCACACACGGAAAAATAAAATAATAATATTAAACATACACAATAGACACACACACCAGTACTTCTTTCATTTCTATTTGTCTTCTATTGGCTCAACTAACTAGAAACAAAATGTAATGTGAGATCTCTTCCCGTTACTGTTAGTAAACCGTTGTCTCTCATTCACGACCCATAACAGCCACCTAGCACCCAGTCACCTTGTACAACAGCCACCTAGCACCCAGTCCCTTGTCAAGCCACCTGCACCCAAACATCTAGTACAACAGCCACCTAGCACCCAGTCACCTAGTACAACAGCCACCTAGCACCCAGTCACCTAGTACAACAGCCACCTAGCACCCAAACATCTAGTACAACAGCCACCTAGCACCCAAACACCTAGTACAACAGCCACCTAGCACCCAAACATCTAGTACAACAGCCACCTAGCACCCAGTCACCTAGTACAACAGCCACCTAGCACCCAGTCACCTAGTACAACAGCCACCTAGCACCCAGTCACCTAGTACAACAGCCACCTAGCACCCAATCACCTAGTACAACAGCCACCTAGCACCCAGTCACCTAGTACAAACAGCCACCTAGCACCCAACACCTAGTACAACAGCCACCTAGCACCCAAACATCTAGTACAACAGCCACCTAGCACCCAGTCACCTAGTACAACAGCCACCTAGCACCCAGTCACCTAGTACAACAGCCACCTAGCACCCAAACATCTAGTACAACAGCCACCTAGCACCCAATACACCTAGTACAACAGCCACCTAGCACCCAGTCACCTAGTACAACAGCCACCTAGCACCCAACACCTAGTACAACAGCCACCTAGCACCCAACACCTAGTACAACAGCCACCTAGCACCCAAACACCTAGTACAACAGCCACCTAGCACCCAGACACCTAGTACAACAGCCACCTAGCACCCAGACACCTAGTACAACAGCCACCTAGCACCCAAACACCTAGTACAACAGCCACCTAGCACCCAAACACCTAGTACAACAGCCACCTAGCACCCAACACCTAGTACAACAGCCACCTAGCACCCAAACACCTAGTACAACAGCCACCTAGCACCCAGACACCTAGTACAACAGCCACCTAGCACCCAGACACCTAGTACAACAGCCACCTAGCACCCAAACCTAGTACAACAGCACCTAGCACCCAAACACCTAGTACAACAGCCACCTAGCACCCAGACACCTAGTACAACAGCCACCTAGCACCCCAGACACCTAGTACAACAGCCACCTAGCACCCAAACACCTAGTACAACAGCCACCTAGCACCCAAACACCTAGTACAACAGCCACCTAGCACCCAAACACCTAGTACAACAGCCACCTAGCACCCAACACCTAGTACAACAGCCACCTAGCACCCAAACCTAGTACAACAGCCACCTAGCACCCAAACACCTAGTACAACAGCCACCTAGCACCCAGACACCTAGTACAACAGCCACCTAGCACCCAGACACCTAGTACAACAGCCACCTAGCCAAACACCTAGTCAACAGCCACCAGCACCCAAACACTAGTACAACAGCCACCTAGCACCCAAACACCTAGTACAACAGCCACCTAGCACCCAAACACCTAGTACAACAGCCACCTAGCACCCAGACACCTGATTTATGTTATGTAACAGCTGCAGCAGGTGTTAGGATCAATGTCCAGCTTTTCAGAATAAATGTTTTTTTCCGAAAAAAATACACAAATATTATAATGAGGCTACATTTATTTTAGGAATTGAGAAAAATTTCTGAGAATGCAGAGCATTTCGAACTGGTTGTAAAGGTTAGAACATTTCTTGACGCATCTTTCTCGTCCGTTACATTATCTGACGAGTTGGACGTCGTTGCGTGACATTAGGTGTGAATATTCGTCTCACTGGATAACGAAAGCATCTTTGATGCAAGTATATTGATGTTCTTGTATCCTGGCGTTGAAGTTCATGATGCGTAGGGAGGGATGCTGACTCTGTCAGCGGTGGTCTGTTATTTGCTGGATCCTCTGGTTATATCTCGTACAGTCATGGATATAAGGACTATTTATTACACTGAGGGTCTGGTAATAATGGCAGAATTACCGACAAAAGGTTTGGTATATGGACACAGATGCTGCTAGTGTGACATTTCAACTTAGGTGACAATGTCACATTTGTTGCATCTGTGTCTGTTAACCTAACTTTAAGTGTCTGTGTGACTGTCAACCTCGTAACTGTAGTGTGACTATATCAACCTCGTGTCTGTAGTGTCACTATATCAACCTCGTGTCTGTAGTGTCACTATGTCAACCTCGTAACTGTAGCGTCACTATGTCAACCTCGTAACTGTAGTGTCACTATGTCAACCTCGTAACTGTAGTGTCACTATGTCAACCTCGTAACTGTAGTGTCACTATGTCAACCTCGTAACTGTAGTGTCACTATGTCAACCTCGTAACTGTAGTGTCACTATGTCAACCTCGTAACTGTAGTGTCACTATGTCAACCTCGTAACTGTAGTGTCACTATGTCAACCTCGTAACTGTAGTGTCACTATGTCAACCTCGTTTCTGTAGAAGAAATGAAAGGTTAGTCTGCAGAATATTTTGGGTAGTGGGATACT